CATGGTGGTTGTCCTGGAGTTTGGTGGCGTCGTGCTGCCACCAAGTTCGTGGCATGCCACAGGATGACTACCCCGGTCATCTTTGGGAACATGAATGGTCGGCGGCCCCGCCGCAGCATGAGGATTGGGACGACACATGGCAGGACCCAGCGCCCCTTCAGGCTCCTCTACCTGCACAGCACCTTCATGGTTGGGAAGACACCTGGAGGGACCCTGCGACCCAGGACCAACCCGTACTGGACCACCCAGAACAGGCGACTTCTTCCTCTACAGGACATCGTCCGGTACACTCGCAAGGGGCGACTTTGGACCTGGACGCGGAAATTGGAGCGGGATTGGCCTTCGAGGACTATGAATCTTTTGTTGACACGGCATCGGCCTACTCTTCCCTGCGGACCACCTCACGCTCCACTGCGGTGACTGTGCCCATGGGTTCCTCGGCGACCTCTTCCCATCCAACACCGGCTGCAGCTCAGACCTTGGAAGCCTTATCTCAGCCGCCCTGGGACGTTTCGGCTCTCATGGATGGACGAGACCTTCGAGCACTTCGGCGTAAGGTCCCCGTGGAACCGCCCTTCTGGATCTGCTCCGTGACGGTCGCAACCTGGGTTTTGGCTCTCTTGGACCGCGCGGGCCGCTGGAGTCCCCTGCCACTACGACATGGGAGCATGGGGCGACTTCTTCCTCCGCAACTTCCTGGCCCTCCCCCTCGACAACCGAACAACCGCCTGCTACGTGCATGGCCCCTGGTTGGACCTCGCCGGGCCCCTGGACCTCTGCTACGTCTTCTTGGTCTTCGTGGACGTCGTCGGCCTCACCGTCTTCACTGCTGCCCTGGACTCCGTCCACCTGGTCCCCCTGGCCCTCTTCGAGTTCGACATGGTCCACTGCATTACCGGAGCCGTCCTCGCCGGCTGACCCTTCCTGGAGTACCTCCTCGTGGTCTCCCTGGAGTACCTCCTCATGGTCTTCCTGGACGTCATCGACCTTGCCGTCTTCATCGCCGACCTGCACTGCGTCTTCCTGGCCCCCCTGGCCCTCGTCGAGTTCGACATGGTCCTCTACGCCACCGGAGTCATCTCAGCCGGCTGAACACTCCTGGGGTACCTACTCGACCTGGTCCTGGTCCACACCACTAGCATCAGCCTCGTCGGGTCCCTTCGCCACAGCGGTGACACCACCTGCCTCCTCGTCCTCGATGACGGAACCAGGACCCCTGGCTGCTGCTGCGCCCGTTGTGTCCACTGCGCAAGGCTCGGCTGACACCCCGCTACACAGTGGGCCGGTTGACTTGCG